GTTTTAGTAGATTTAATGAAACGATATACAGAATACATTTGCTTTCGTAATGCATCGCAACGCATTCTCGCGTGCCTTACCATCTATATCACATGTCAATTTTTTTTATTTATAAAATATAATCATCAATAATTTCTTTGTTCTCGCGTCTTGCCTTTGAACTACCTCTTCGTCGTATATATCGAAAGTATATATATATATTTATATGTATTTATATATATATATGTATACATATATATATTTATTTATATATATAATATATTTATTTATATCTGTATATATATATATATATCTATTTATATATATATTTATATTTTTATTTATATATATATATATATTCCAAGCGAGAGGGAATTGTGTTGTGGCTCGGTACAGAATTAACAACGAATCAGGCCGGAAAAAAGGTTCCATAAATGTGCGCGCGCGCGTGGGTATGTGTTAATATTTGAGAACGATGTTACACAGTGATATATTCATGTGATATTACTATGCTATGCATCACCCCTACGATCGACGGTCGTACGGATGAAAGCATCAGGTCAAAGTACTCTCCTCTCCGCGATTTCTTTATTGTCAACCGTTGTAGTTACACCTGCTTCACACTTTCTTTTCTTTTCTCTCTCTTTCTCTCTTGCTTTCAGTGTCTCTCTTATGCATAGATCGCGTAACACACCGAGAGATCACACATTCTCGCGATATGCAATTAATTTCGACTTGTCAAGTCGTACGGCCGTCGATACGTCGACGTTTCCGTCATTTTCTTTGATCATCCTCCGTTTCTCTTCGTTTCACGATTAATATATTCGATCGTATGCGTTACGTAAGATTTAGCATATAAAAAAGAAAAAAGGTAGAAGAAATATCGAGATAGATCAAAAGATCGAGTACTTTTAGTATGAATCTTGTCTTGCGACACTTACGTGGACATTTGTTGGCTGCTATTCGCATTGTTTCTCTGTCTGTGTAGACACATATTCGTTTAATGTTAAATTTACTAGATTTATTTTCGGTGCAATGCTTATGTCTCACGATGCATATGTACTGTACATGTTAAGCGAGTACATTTGTCGTACATTTATAAACGCGATTTTTTTGGCTGAGCGTGCGGACGTTCGTACGACAGAGTGAAACAGTGAAATTTATGTAATCTCATAATTAAAGAGATTGATTAACATCTCGAGATAGATTTGTTTTGTTTATCATAATTCTTATTTATTAAAATTTTTCTTTATCAAAATTTTATCGAATCGCTGAATTTAGTAGACAAATTATGATTGTATCTGTAAGTTATTTATAAGAAATTATGAGTAAATTAGTTACGTCTTAATTGAATTCGATTAAAGACCTGTAATTTTTATTTTAATAACAAAATGTGCTTCCCTTGACAATGATTATGAAAATTACCTGAGGAAAATGAATTCTGAATGATAGAGAAAGTTTAATAACTTGTATAAGAAGAAAGCTTGATAACTGTGAAGGAAGAGTGCTAGAGAGACAGATTAATTTCAAATTCATTCGGAAAGTATAGGAGAAGTTAGAAAGTAATTAGTAATACGTTATGTGTTTTATAACATCTTGATTACCTTTCCATCGTTTTGAATTGTCGGAAAATCGACAACTTCCGTATAGTTTTCACGGCGGAACACACTGTACGCAAACGTCCGCCGCTTCACGAATCAATGATAAATAATTCCCTCGAATAAACTCAGTCAATTACAATGTCAATCGAGAAAATAATTTATTAACAAAATTTCGAAGAAAAATTAAATAATCTGTTGATCGAACATTTATTGCATACATCGATGAAACGGGGAAAAAGGGATAGATTTACACCTAACGGAATTGACTGTTATTTCGTTACACTAATGACAGATAATCGATTTAAATAACAATATTGGGACGATCTCGTTCATTTTGTGAGAATATTTTACTATTCACGCCCGGACGATCCGATATGCCCTCCTGCTCCTCTTTCTTTTCGCCTATTTTCTTTATGACATTTTCTCGTAAAAAATAATTCGCCGCAGTGCTGGGTCCAGGGACGATTTTCCGCAATCAGGAGCGGAAGACATCAGCCTCGCGCGGACTCTTTTCTCTTCGCGCGGACTCTCGTTAAGAAAAGATATATAGGAACAAAAATACGTCGCCACGAAACCCCATCTTCCGTGTAACGGAGGCCGTAACTCGTCGGGGTTTCCTTCGTTCTAGTCGAGCCCTTTGCGAAATTCCGATCTCGATCTTTTTGCGGCCGATAATTCCTCTCCCGAAATCTCCTCTAGACTCAACACTTTGTTTGCACGAGCGAGAAAGTCGATTTCTACCGTTCGAGGATTTCTACATGTTCCGTCTAAAGATGAAGTATGATATGAAGAGAAGATAAGTCGAGAATATCAGGCAAGAAGCGCTCGTCCTCGAGAGTTTTAATTGCACCACGTTTCTTACAAATATGAAAAATGATTTCCATACTGATACAGATCGATGCCAATGCGTTACCTGATTTTATCTTCATTAATACAAAATTATTTTTTCTTTTTTTTTTCTAGTTATTTTTTCTAGTTATTTCTTGGGATTTCCATTCAATTCGTCCAACTCTCTCATTATTAAGTATAATACTTATCTTCACAACGGACGGAAGAAAACATTTATATTTATTGGGACATTATTTTGTAAATATTTCAAAGCTCAACATTTAATATTGTTTTTGTATGCCTAGAAATATTTGTCACGATCTCTCGACGCTAAAGAGGGTTCTCAAAAAGTGATTACTTTTAGAAATTCTAAAAAGGCAAGATTTTGTATCTCTAAAACTCTTCAATCGATACCTCATAAATATCTTATTTTCTTTACAAATATCCTCTGACAGAACATTGGCATCAGTCTGGTATCGTAAAGAACTTCCTTATCTTATTGCTATCGATTTCGTGGCGCGAATTAGTTTTCTCCAGCGAAAACAAGCCCTTCGAAAATTTATGCTCTTCAAACAGAAGCAGAATCGACACTCTCGCATGCGTTATCTTAATTTCGATCGCAAGGGTCGCACAAATCTTGATACCCTCGGATCCTGTTTACCTTGCATTCTTACCGGGCATTTTGTCTTTTGAACACTTGCGCGCGTATCCATCCGCAAACGTGGACGTGTAAATGAATTGTATTATAATGAATCATTTGGTACACGGAGAAATGTTTTTTTACAAACATGGCAATTTTTTGAAGGGAAGAACTTGATATGTTGTCTATTGCGCAGTTTTTTGCGTCAATACCGAATTTTGCGCCCACTGGAAACGGAATTTGTTTCTTTGTAAAAAGAGTAATTATAGAGCATAAAGATTGATTATTTCAAACGTCATCGCTAGTGATTAACAAACGCATGACATATATATATATATATATATATATATATATATATATATATGTATGTATATATATATATATGCGATATAAGATTATTATGCCTATATCGGCCAGTATAGCAACGGTGTCCATTGAGTTCGCCATGTATATGATAAATATATAATTATTATATCGTAATTTATATAAGATTTGAATATCATTCTCTAATACATTATCGCAAATATGTTACTGTAAACAGTTGAATATTTAACATTTTCATTAAAAAAAATTTTCCATTTCTCATCACAAATATGTTAAATGATCATCATGGCGAGCCTTGAATTTTTACAGGAAACCGTTCCTTTATAATATTTATTCACAAGTAGCACAGTACAATTATTATTAATTAATCCTTTACGGCCAAAATTATTTTATGGATTTGCAATCGACAATTAAATATCATAGTTAATATCATCTCATTGTGATTGCTGTGATCGCGTTTCTGGAGAGCAGATGGTATATTAAAAAAAAAAATAATAATTTTCTTTTTGATTTTCAGATTAATTTTTGATCTAATTATCTTGACACAATTATCTCTCATTATTTTCGATCTAATTATCTTGACACAAAATTATCCGTGTCTACTCTCTAAATTCTTTCGAGTGGAATTTATAAAGAGTTAAAATTGAGTTAATCTCGAGAAGAAAATAGCTCAATTTTCAATTTTTAGGAATGAAATTTCACTCTGCAGAGTGATATTCGCTCCAAGAGTTTTAGAGAGTGAATTTTTTAGGCCGCAAAGCATTAAATTTTAATTAGCAACAAGAATTGAGAAAACACTTCCGAAGTACTAGCAAAAGCTTTCGAAATTGAACGATTGAATAAAGATAAAATGTCCGTTTCCAGCGACGGAAATTGAACGCGAGTGTATTTGATTACTTCTTATTATTACTTCTTCCGTGCACTGCATCGTATACGAGATCGCGAATCGAGAACATCACGCGAACGATATCGCTAAACAGAATACAAAAGACATTAATACGAGAAACCACAATCGTAGATAGCTAGTAAAAGACGAATTCGATTCAGGTATTGATTCCGCCATGTCTGCGAAGCGTCGAACATTTGCGGATACACACGACTTTATATTAACATATACACATGTAATTATTATATCTATTGTGCACGTACAGGTAATTAATGTGATCTTTGTTTATGTATGTGTGTGTGTATATGTGTATGTGTGTATGTCTGTAAGGACAATGTTCTGTCGTGTTAAGAAGCTTGGATCGCGTTGCGACGGTGGTTATTGTAAGATTACACAGGCAATGGTAACTACGCCTGAACAAAAATAGATCTCAGGATTATCTAAAATAATCTAAAAAGATAATTAACTAAAGCAACCATAACGGTTGATGCTAAAGCTTACTATCGTAAACATTATCTCTCTCACTATAAATAATATAAAAAAGACTAAAATTATTAAAAAAAAATCTTAAAAACTACAAAAGATATAAAAAATACAAAAAAATGTAACTTTAATAATAACAATAAAATAAAATTTTTAAGAATAATATATAACGTTTTCATTAAGACAAAAGGCGAAGTCGAATGAAGAGAGAAGTAAACTTTTCATATTTAAATATATTTAAATATATTGAACATTGTGTGTGTGTGTGTAGGTGAAAAATAATCGTGAAATCTCTTTTCACTTCAATGCGAAGTTATTCCCTATATGCAATCTTACTTTATCTTACGTACTTAAACGTGGATAAAATATTAAGATATACATCAAAAAACAGAGATGCATGTCGACTGCGGTAATCCTGGCGGCGAGGACGCCTGTTTGAAAGCCTCGATCAGCATCCTCTGCCGTCTATCGCGTCGATTGTAGGATACTAGTGCGTTAAGGGGCATTTTAACGACGACGACAACGACGGCGAAGTTTACTGTAGCGAGACAATGGTAACACAAGGTGGTAGTAAAGGTAGCGCTGGTAACAGTGGTAGTAGTGGTAGTAACGCCATAGAATAGTAACGCTATCAATGAGTAGTAATAAGTATAACGGTATAGTAAAGTAGTAGTTGTAGTAGTTAAGTAGTAGTAGCGGCGCGTTATACGTATATAAATAGGACACTCTACGTTAGTTTGATTAAAAAAGTAAATGTCATAACGTAATAGGTAACTTTAAGCCGGGCCCGCCTCGCTGTCTCGTGCTGAATTAAAAATTTTTTCTCACTTTTCCAAACGAGGCGAGCCCGTGATTGTTCGCCTTAGCTCTCTAAAATCACATAAACGCAAGAATAGTGGTAAAGAGTCGACTGATATCGACCATGCGCTTCGGACGGCGCTCGAACAGCATTGACAATGCCGAGCTCGTTTACGAGTGCGTTACGAGAGGAAAAAAGAACTCTACGAATCGCGGTAATCACTGCATGGAATCTGCGAAAATCTCATGGTGAAAATATATAAACTGCGTTGCGAGGCTGCGGACTTGAAATTCTCACTTATACGCGCTACTCCGTTCTCGATATCAAAATATACAATTAAAATTAAAAAAAATGTGCTAACTCATTCTACTTGAACTACGATTTCTGATCAATTATTTTTAACGAGACTATTTTAAATTATTTTTTAAGTGTATCTACTTGTAAAATACTTGGTAAAAATGCCTGGTAAATATTTACGGTTTGAGATAACTGATATCTGAAGCACTTGCTCAATTGTTATTAAAAATGATGCGCATATCTAAAACGTGTAAATAGTTATGTATAAAAATACTATGTATCGAAATGTATCTAGTCGAATGATTATTAACTTTTCTACGATTTACCATAAACTCATAAAATAATAGCGCCACTCCTAAACTCATTTTCCATTAGCACAGATACCCGAGGGACGCATATTGCAACCCTGCAGCTTTTTAAATGCACGTGAACTCACAGCTTTCGCTTGTATTTCAATTTCCACCATCGAGTTTTTCGATATTCTTCATTCCGCTCAATCATATTTGTCTCGAGACTTCAAAGCGCACGTCATCAGGGACAGATAAGTATGTCCACGATATAAAATAACGAAGAACAAATAAAAGAATACATTTAACTTGATGTAACATAGAATTGCATCGATTCTTGCCATGCGTACGAACAAGCAATCGATCTGCACTCGGCATCGTCCAGCTATCGAGAGCGCGACCGACAGTCACGTCCTATATTTACTATTAAGACGGACGGGCGTTATTCGCCCTTCCCGTCGTTGCTCTGATATGTTGCGAATCGCCGATGCGTTCCCCCGCGACGGGCAAGGTATTGCCAAAGATACTACGTGTGTCCAAGAAGTGGCGGGTCGCGTGCGTTGGCCGTGGGAGCGACGAGGCGAGCCGAGCGCGAGAGCACGGAGAGCCTCGTACAAACTAGGTAGAAAAGTGAGAAAAATTCGCGCGAAGAGCCTTCCTGCGAGAAAGAGAGAAAGAGGTATCTCTCCCTGTCCATCCAAGTTCGCACGAAATCTACTACAGCTAGAAGGGAGAATAGCGAAATCGCCGCGGCCCGCCTCGTGCCCGCTTTCTTTATCCGCTCGTGTTTCTGTCATCTCGCGCCGATCCGCTCTCCAGCAGCAGCAGCAGCACAACAACAGCGACTATAGTAGTGCACTTATACTACTAATAGTATAACGGCGATGTGTGACACCCGCCACCCGACACGTCGTGCATGCAGAGACCTACAAGACACTCTGTACACTTACGTTCGCACGTGATGCATACATCCGTTTACACGCTCACACATATACATTATTCATTCGTTCATACATACGTACAATAAACTTTCCCTTAAATTTAGTGTCTGCGTTCGCGCGGACAGCTTCCGTCCGCGCTCGCTCGTACGACCAGTAATGGCTCTCCTCGCTCTTTCCGCTCGACGAGCTCTTCCAGGATTATCCTTTGCAGAGAGAGGACGTCATCAAGAACGTCGTCGAGAATCGAACGTACCCGCGGGATCGCGCGAGGTTACACGCAAGAAGAGAATAAAGCTACGTGTAATACAAACTAAGAAGGATGCAATCAGAACGAAGATAACGCAACCGCATGGGTCTGAGAAAATAATTGCTCTATGTGCTGGCGAGGCTGCTCGGTTTAGAAGGGCAAGCTACCGACAAACATCGTCTCGATCAGGGGTGGCGCCGGCACCAGGTCCTCCAGCTTGAGGTAGAAGATCCGCTGGAGGCCTTGGACCGAGAGACTCCTCAGCTCCGGTATCTTTCCCAATAGGTACGACAGGTACTGCGACTTCCTCTGCGCCTCGGCATTATAGGTCACGTGGTCGCGCAAGGACGAGACAATTTTCATCTGCAACTGTTCCATGCGCTGCGGTTCCTTCAATCCGTACCTTTCTGAAAGCACGCGAGTCAGCTTGAATGAGAGACCGCTGTTTTCTCAAAATAGTACAAGATGAACGGAATTTATGAATTGCCATCAAAATCTATTAAACAATAACATTCTGTAAATAATACCGGAAATTTTAATATTAATCATCAGCTATAGATTAAATTTCACATTCTTTTTGAAAATCAAATCCCGAGAATTTAGATAATAAAAATCCTATATCTTAAAAAGTTCATGATGAACGATGTATTACAGTTGATTTAATTACTACTCTACTAACATTCAAGATTAAGAAACATTGATAAATCAATTAAACTCCAATAATATCAGTCACTCGACCTTCGACACGTAGCTATCTAAACACGGAAATTCTGATTGGACGCGCTTGTAAACCGCACACCTGCATGTCTAGTTGCTAACGGATCGCGTGCGGAACGAGGAACATCGTCGTTCCTTTCGTCGGAGCATCAATAATTAATTGATCCGACGGATTAATTATTTAGGCCGGCCGATATAACCAGAATACGGGTAGAGCGAGCCGGATAAAGGAAGACTGAAGGTGCCGTTAAAGAAATAATCAGCAGAACCGCAGTGTGACAACTATAGAGCTCGATCGTAAAATAATTAATACTTATGATAACAGAAGCGCAACTATGGCAATTCAATCGACCATGAAATCAAGGGAATTATAATCTAGTACTAACCAGTAACCAGGGTGAGAGCGCACAGACAGGCGAAGGCGCTGATATCGACCTCCAGGAAGTGGAGGGCTTTGCAAAAGTCAAGAATGCTATGCAGCCAATCGCCGAAACTACGCTGACACTGCTCCAACGCGAGGACAACGCCGTTGCAGAAGACCAGCTTCGTGTCGTCCGGGTGCGTGCGGTACGCCAGCCTGAGCACAAACAGTTCTAGACTGGCCGATTGGAAGAGCAATTCCTGAAAGCAGATTACGTTGTGAAGTTATTAATACACGAATGCATTGTCCATAATACGTAAACTATCGAGATAACCGAAAGGTTTGTTCTAAAGATATTTTATTATTCACGATATTAAACATCTTTTATTTACAAAAGAATAACATAATTTTATTTAGATGTGATGACAAATCTTAAATAACAATAAAATCTCTTCTGATTGTAGCATAGATATATTAACAAATTACTGTCTATCGTTCTACCGAGCAGTGTCTGCTAGTCAGCCAAGCAACCGCGTCAAAAGCTCGTCAAGACTGACCTTTTAGAAAATGTATAAGCTATCGATCTCTGTAACCGTTAGTTCCCAATGGATATCGTCCGAGAATCGATATCTGACCAGTGATATAATAAAAGCGTATATCTTTTAATTTTTCGAGATGAAAAAAAATTAGAAGAGACGAGAAAAAAATAACAATAAATTCTCACAAATTCAAACTTCAAGACTTTTATGTAAAAAAATTATATATTCTTGGAGATATTATTCCTCGTATTTATAAGTTGTTATTGGGGCTAATATATTATCTTATTGATCGTTTCTATGCGTGATAAATGATCACTCACCTGATCTTCCCGCACTAGATCCGTGAATCCGGGGATTTTGTCGGCGAAATTTCGGATAACATCGATCGAGGTTGTCAATAAATTGTAGAACTGTTGAATCTTCTCGGCCTCGGTTATTGGTGGATCACCCGGCCTAGGTTGTCGGTACTGTGAGTAATCCAAACTTGCCTTGTCCGGCGTTGTGTCAAGATGGGCGCGAACCAGAGCGGTAATCAAAGAGACCGGTGGACTCGGTGGGGATTCTTGCGGTGACTTGGGCTTTGAGGGCAACCTGCCTCGACGGCCCTTCAGAGAATCTGTTCTAACGACCTGTCCAACAATTAAATAGTAAATTAAGTTACTAGTTTATTTTATTTCATATTTGTAATTATTTCGTTCGTATTATAATATTTTTCCACGCGTTTTTTAAGAATTTAATAATTATATAATTTCAATTATTTAATTTAATATATAAATTTTCATTTAATTTTAAATCTTAGAAGTAATTTTGACATATTTTATTAGTTAACTACCAAGAGTTTACTTTCATCACACTGAGATGTAGATATCTACTTCTTAATTCTCAATTATGAAAACTACATCTAAAATTTCAATTGTTTAAATTTTAATCTGTTTGAAATACAGAATGCAAACAAATCTCTACCTTACGACGATTGATAGAGGAAGGTTCCAAGTATTTTTACAATCTAGAACCTCACAGTCCAATCGTACAAATCGTTCATTTTCGCTTTGAGTCCAAATGACCCATTGTTGTAATCGAGAGTTATTATCATATAAACTAACAAATTTAAGAAAAAATTTTGAAATATATTACGCAAGCGAACAAGTTTTTTACCTCCTTGACCATGCCAACCATCAGGCACTTCTGGAATCGGCAGAACTGGCAACGATTTCGCCGGCGTTTGTCTACTGGGCAAGCCTTCTCGGCCAAGCACACATATTTGGAGCCCTTTTGCACGGTCCTCTTGAAGAAACCCTTGCAGCCCTCGCATGTGCGTACACCGTAGTGCTGACAGGCCGCGGTGTCACCGCATACAGCGCAGAGCTGGCTCGGGCTCGGAGGTGCACGTTCGCCACTGGTACCGCTTCCGGGCGATGGTGAACTGACAGTGGAACTCGCGGTACCGCCGCCGCCGCGCGGCTTCGGGGAATCCGTGCTCCCACTACTGTTAACACGACACAGGACGCGCATTGATCTATAACCCGTCACTAGTCAGAACGGGAGTTCTTCCAAAACTATCAGGTCTCATGTCCTCGAAATACGGATCGCTAATCGTAAACGCAGAAACCGAAGTCGCGTCTTTCATACCTCAACATTTACAATAAAATTGAAAAGATCTGTCACATACACGGATTTCGACAAATTGCTCAATTTATTTTATTATTCCAAAGTTAAATGTGAATTAAAATTTTTTAACTAGAAAGTTTTCTTTCCACTTTGTATACTTCATCAAATAAATTTAATTTAGCAAATGAAATTGTGAGTGAACGAAATAATGAACAAGAATATTAAAAAAATGTTTCTTTCTTTCATGTTAAAACGTTATTAATTTACACGTGAGAAGCACAATGAGACTTGAAGTTATTTATTAGATATATTTATTTCATAAAAGATCTTACCTTGCTGATTCTGATCTCTGTGTGGGCAATGACGCCCTTCGCGGCCGAGTAGTACCAATGACGCTGGAATCGACGCTGGTGACAACAGTGGGACAGAGATCGGTAGGAACTACGGGAGTGGCGACGGCGATAACTGATGGTGCCCCGTAAACTATAGGCATGGCGACAGTCACTCCGTAGGATGGGTCCTGCCGATGATTGGAGGGTACAACCGGTACAACCGTCGTTGCCGGGGTGGGCGCCGATTCCGTGGGGAAGTAACTTTGATGATGATGCGGGGCCTGCTGATGATGCTGCGGGTGATGATGAGGATGCTGCTGTTGTGGCTGCTGCTCGTGATAGGGCACCGCGGCCGAGAACTCAGTCGGATAATGAGTAGTGGTACAATATACCGGAGTGTCGTAGCATTCGTCCATCTTAAGACCGAGACTTTGGAGTTCCTGCCTGGTATATCGTTGCGTGTAGGTCTCCTGGAAGCTCGGTAACGGCGTAGGACTGTAAACAAGGATACTTAACATTCTATACAAACCCTGTATCAAGTTTCATTGTCTAAAAACTTCAATCATGTCCTTTAATAATTAATATCATTGATAATAATATAATTTCTTTGCTTATGTCATATGAAAAATCCTTATAAGAAATTTATATGATCATCAATGATAGGATATCAGAAGTTTAGTTTACATACCTAAGAGAATCAGCTTGAATATCTTCGGGGAGGGGTGGCGGTGGTGGTGGCGGTTGCGATGGCTGCTGATGATGTACACTTTGTTGAGACGGAACAGAGTTGTCGACCGGAGGCACGCCTTGCGGATTCCCGAGTTGCAGTTCCGGAAAGGGATCCAACTCCTCGGGTAAGCTTCCAGCATCCGCAGCGTCTGGATATGAGCTATTCAGGAACTCCCCGAAATTGCCAAAGGGACTCTGCAATGAAAAATTGTGACCATATTTATAAGTAATATTATAGATATAATAATATAAATACACATATCATTATTTCTTATATATATATAAAATAATTAATGCACATATATATATATATATATATATAATAACAAGCTAATTTTATCAAAATATTAAGAAAATCAAAAATAATTATTTATATTCCATAATAATTAATAGTATTGACCAAAATACAAAAGTAATTATATTTAAACAATCATTTTCATATCATAATAAAAGTTTAAATAATTCAATAAAATAATATTAATTATATCTAATGAAAATTTATATCGCAAATTTTAATAATGTGTAATAACAATATATAATAATATAAATTATATCAGCAATAATTATATCAACAATAATATATAATAATGTAAACTCTATCATAAATAAATAGAAAATCAGAAAAATGAATAAAGTAGAAAAAGACACAAATAAAAAAATACCTGCGTTGCATGAATGTGAGCCAATTTGAACACCATACCGACATGAACCTTGCGAATCTTTTGTTTTCTAATTACATACCGAATAAACAAGAATCGGCTATTGACTTTAAACGCCGTTTTAAACGATGTTTTCTTTTGGCGGAGCCGTCACGGTCTCTGGAGAGCCGTGCGAGCGGCAAATCGAAGCACCCAACTGCAAGGCGGAAACATTGTTCGACCACAATTGCGAGCCGCAGCGTCGAGACATCGACGTACAATCGAGGTGCGCAGTAAGGATGTTCGAAAGAGGATTGGACAAGCGAAGCTCGTATCGCGTGTTGTCTATAAGGTAGCACTCAATAGAGGCTTAGAGCTTTTCTCTCTTTCTTTCTCTACTCCTCTCTCTTTTCCCTACCCGCTTCAATCATTGATAGTCGATAGTCGATGAGCGGTAAAACTATCAACTGGCGATTAAATATTCGCGCGACAATAGGATAATAATAAACGACCATTCGTATTGATACACTTCGTAAAGTCTTCTTTTCGAATCGAAAAGAAATTATGTATACTGAGATATTTTAATGAATTATTCAATTAGTCGTAACATATTCAAACTGCAAGCAACTTTAAAATTAATAATGGAGATTTATTATTTGAAATAATTTATGCAGTCATACAATAGTGCTTTCCTTTCCGTTTTCGAAATAGATTCGCCATATTTCGTAAAACTAATGTTCTCAATTATAATTATAACAAAAATATGAATAAATAAAATATAATCAAACAGTTGTGTTCACCATTGGAAAACATCCAAAATATAGTGGGAAGAAATCCATCATTAACAAATTGTAATCAGAGTTTAAAAAAAATATCTATTCTAAAATCTGAGAATGAAAATTATGAAAATATTGTAGCAGCAGGACATCCTACAGCAGGGAGTGAAGAATAGCATCATAAGGAGGAAGATGGTGGATGGTGGAAGAGGGTGGATATTCAATTTGCAAGTGCCGGTTCCGCTTCGAGCTGACATTTCGCTCATCGCTCCCCCGAGGACCGGCGATCGAAGTCTCGTCCTTCCAGACCGTGAATAAATGGCCTGCTAAACGGCATCCTAAAAGCACCTCTCCTACTATAGCCTCTATTTTCTCTTGCTAAACTGTCGAGACAACCTCTTCAATATTGCTCCGCTAATTCTGCGGCACATTCTCGTTTTAGTGGTTTACTGCAACATCATTTTATCCACCGCGAAAAAGGAGTCGAAACCGAGTGGAAGTACCGGAGAAAAATAAAAAAAAAGAGAAACAGATACGACAGCATTCATATAGAATGCAGATTGTACGTAATACATGCGGACGGTCACAGGAATGCGGGAGAGTTTTGTTACCGGACTAAGCGGGATCATGTAATCCGAAAATCTGAGAAGTCGATAAGAATTGGATTTACCATTTAATTAACCGCCAGATTGCGACTCTATAATTTCAAATGGTCGCGTAAGGCTTATCGATGGGGAAAAAATGGGTGGCAATATTTCAATGATAATATACCGTGATTGATAGGTAACTACTTTCCGTGTTTGCTGTGATAAGGAGGATCGAATGATATAAGAACAGGAAAGTGGTCTACCGTTAAGTTAGAATACTGCAAAAGAGACTCAAAAGTTTCGAAGGTATGAAATGTTAAAGCTTGATTTTTTAAGGTAATTTCCAGACAATTTCTAGACAATTTCTTGTTCCTTAGAAAATAATGAATTTTAATAAATAATTTCATTAAATATCATCATATCTATATATTTTTTATTATTTAATATGTCAAAGGTTATATAATTGTACAAATTCAACTAGAAAAGTACATGTTATAATATATAATATATTACGTGTTGGAATTAATTCGTAGGGTTTTTTAATGAAAGAATGTTATTTATTTCACATGAGCATTAAAAAATACATTAATGAAAGTACTTCCCATCACTTGTAAAACGCTACGAATTAATTCCAACACCTAATATATATAAAAATTAATCTTTTAACTGACTAGAGATTGCTCGATCTTGCACGGAGCATGTTATTTCTGGATTTACTTTCTTTGAAGAATATTACATATCCATATTTCTCATAAGACCTTCTTGGAATTATTTATGAGAGACGAGATGAGATATGAACGTTTACACGGATGAATATTATTACGTAAAATTACAACTTATGTTGCATCATGTAGACATGCAAGCGAAGACTTAACCGATCCGTTCAGTCGACGGAGCTACAACCAACAAGATTCGCAGCACAAACGATATTTCAGAATGTCGATTGAATTTATAATCAAGTTTTACTTTACCCCTAATTTTATTTATCGCTAAAATAATCTTTTTACCTTAATTTTCCTTACTTTCTTCAATCGAAATTTAATGAATTTCCGATTGAATTCAATTCAAATTAAATTTGAGAGCTAAAGATAGAGTGCATCACACGAAGCAGAGAAATGGAACTCACCTGTGTCTGCAAAAGTAGCATGCTTGATGCCACTGTGAGGGCGGTCGTAGTCGTGGTGATGGACGATTGATTAGTGCAAGCGAGAACCGGAACGGTAGCGGTCGCTTGACGTTGCTGCTGTCGTGGGCGATGTAGTTGTTGCTGCTGCTGTTGTTGCTGCTGCTGTTGTTCTACCTCGCTACGAGTAACAGCCACCGCACGCTGGCTACCGTTGCTGTTGTCGCTGTCGCCGTTCGGCGAATGCAGTTGCCCTGCAACACCCAAATGGGTACGCTCGGTTATTATATTTTTATATTGGATAATATTATTTAAACTATTTTTTAAAACTTCTAGAGTGAATCTCACTCTGAAAATTGAAATTTCATTCGAAAGAATTTAAAGAGTAAATATTGGAACAAGAAAAATAAGAATAGACATAAAATTAGGAGATATTTTGAGAGGAAATTAAGAAGAAATTAGGAACGATATTATTAAAGGGTGTCATTTTATTTAGTATTAGCGTAAAATATGATTTTATTAAAAATCCAGCTTTACACTAATAACGATTATTAATGTTTATTATTTATTCAATTTCTTCGTCTAAATATATAGGTGAGAAATATATAGGCAAGATGTGAAATATATAATGCACGTTTCTCCAATAAGAGACTTCGAACACTGATTGATAAATAATGCGCAGACGGTCTATCGTTAAATGTTAGCAAATATGGAGTAAAAACTAACGTTATTCATTATGCGCAAAGAAGCAAAAATGGATCATAACCTCCTTTCTAAGGAAAAACTTTCTGATATGTCAATTTTAAACGATATGCCGGGAGAACACAGTGGAACATTTTTTCTATCGCAAGAACGCACGGTTAATATTGATGTTTAGCATTCTATGTGGCGTGTTGCACTTCCGATGCGCGGTACAAGAGCAGCGCGTTAAGTACAACTCGGTCACTCTCTGACGTTTAAATCTCCACATACTTTGATAATTTCAAATATTATGAAATATATATACATTTTTTAAATATATATATTTTCATTTTATAATAATTTTACAAAAGAAAAAAATTATCTTTGGCAAGATGGAACACAATTCGCAAAGTATTCAATTTTATATTTTAGAACCTCTTCTTAAATGTTTATTTATATATTATGTATAGCATACCTGAAAGTAGGCAATGATTATATAGGTACTACAAATATATAATTTTTTAAACAGCATCAAAACACAAATCCACTTCAAATTTCGATATGCAAATCTTTGAAAAAAAAAATGAAATATTTGAGTATCATATTTCTCTCTACGTACAATATCTGTCATACTGAGAATGTCCAGCATCCATGGCGATCATATCTGCAGAGATTACTGCGACTTAGAAAATTATATTATTGCGTCGATTAATTTTTGTTACTTTCGTTAATTTTTTTAAATTTTAGTAATAATTATTTTACTAATCAAAGAAAGTCTAATGGCAATCGTTAACAAGAAATTTCCGAAATTACTTTCACTACATTCAGCACAATCAAGAGATTCGCGGTGGATCTTATTAATCGGTGAATCCTCGTCGTCGACTGAGCACTTGGACGTCTCCGGGACGTCCCTATATAGGGTGGTCTCAAACACCCAGGGGAGACATGAAATCATTGGCATTTAAAATACTACAACCCCGTTCTATACAAACAACCACGCACTCCACCTCCCTTCCCGATTATTATTACGCGATATTATCCCCTGACGACCAAGCATAGATAGTCTCGTATCAACGACCACGCTTTTGCGAACAGAACATCGATACTAAGTAGACTGCAGTTTTTTCTATAATTAATAGTAATTAAAAAATCGTTAGTAATGAAGAAATTAACAATTCTATGTATTTCTCTTAGAAATTCCGTAATTATATTTATATTTACACTTTTGAAGAATATGAAAACGTACAAGAGAACTAAATTCTTCAATTATAAAATGATATAATTCTTGGAGTTCAATTTTAATGTTGAAAATATATTTAGTAAGATAATAAAAATATTTAGTTAGAAAATAAAAATTTTTATCAGAATAATAAGTGATACATTGAATCGATTTAAGAAGATTCACAATGTTATTTAATCAGAGTGTTTTATGACGATTCTCGTATCTTAAGTCATTTATTTGATTGGAAGAAACAAGAATAGAGTCAACAAGAACGTGTCGATGATTTATCGAATCAACCAGGAAGGGTTTATGCGAGTAATCTGATACGACAGCCGGATGCAAGGCGTCCCAGCGCATCGAGATGCCACTCGTCGATAGTCATGGATATCGAAGTCGCGTTCGATTTAATTTCACAATCGCGCCACGCCAGAGACCACCTACCGCGATCGCGAAGCATCGATTATAAGCGATTTCACCATGACGCTGATCAATTCTGCAAGGGGTATGTTGTACGCATGGAAGAAGTGACGATTAGGTACAATGGACCGGCTGTTACGGCAAATTGAACGCGCGCGAGAGGAGGGACCGGGTTCATTGTTATCTCCGCAGAGCCGTCGTAAAACAACCAGTGAAATTGATAAAGCCTTCCGCGTCCTATGAAGCATTAGCTGTTAGACTTGATAATTATCGTTAATTATCGGAACTCGCGTGAGATGAAAATGTGTGATTATCGACGGAGAGATGTAGATTATTGAAAATAAATCATGGAAATTATAGGAATTATGCATGTAATGGTATACAAAGAATCACTCGTTTTAAATACATTTGCTAACACACAGTGTAGAAAATATAAACATGTGGTAAATATAGGTTTTTCATATAGTTACTTAATGCAAACGTATAATGTATAAAATTTTCTTATTGCTCAATTAACTCAACGGTTAGGTTAATTGAGCAATACTGTAATAATGCAATAATACAAATCAATTATATAAAACACATTTTTCTAGATAAATTATTACAATAATTATTTTCGTATCATTAAATTTTTAACTTAATGTAGAAAAACATATTGTATATAAGTACCTATATGTATTTATATTTAGTGAGTTAATTAATCCGTCGAAAGAGAGTCTATTATCTGTAAGAAAAATGAGAATATGATGTCATAAATTCTAGTTGTGTCTAATAAACCTTCTTAATGGAAAATGAAGTCTAATAAACTTTTTTAATGGAAAGTAAAGTAATTCGATCGATCATGTCCGACATCCGGATGTCAGGAATTCTGGATTACTAATTGCATCGTAAAACTCAACCTGATGCAATTAGCCAGACTAACTGCCAAGCTCGTGATAGCGCGTGCTTCGAAGAAATAAAAACACTTATATGTTTTTGCTGCTATAAAATACAATGTCGTTATCACCACGCAATAAATTAGCCGATACCAAGAGAACGTCAACCCGTAACGTAGTTGTAGTATGTTACAGTTACATTTTAATTGAACACCGTTGTATACCTTATCCGCGATTATTTTTACATGCGAAAATGGCACTTAACAATCCGCGCGAAGAGATATCATAAAATCCGTTATTTAAGATAGCATAAAGGCCGAATGAGTGCAATTGCTCGTAATCTTATCTACGAGGTATACGATGGAAATAAACAAGTACGCTTTAAAAAATGCACTAAATACGAGTGTAATGTAAATAATTATAATTACTTTAAAAAACTAAAAAATATTATATCGTATATTAATAGTGTTATTGCAGAGCGTTTTAAATTATTACATTAATAATGTCATAAAAGCATAAAAAAATATAAGATTAATTATTATTAGTTGTATTAATTTTTCAATGTTGCTAAAAGTAAATTAAATAGCTTTTATAAGCTCATTTAGTCGCGCAAATTATTCTACAAATATAAACAATAAGAACCCCATGGGAGGATCTTTTGCTTCAAATTTAAAATTCCAAATATTTTCTCCTCTCGATTCTCGCGCCGAAACGGAAGGCATAACGGATCGAAGTACCTTAAAGATACACAATGCATGTAAACGCGGAAGAACACGGTGACGGTGGCGACTACACGCGCGGCAGCGCCATAGGCAGGGGTGAACGCGCGGAGATAGAGAGGCAGAGTGCAGAGTAGGGTGGCGAACGGCCGAGAGAAAAGAGTAGGGCTTAGCAGAACAGCGTGTGCCAAGTGGATTACAGCGGTCTGGTGTACAGGGCCCTCCCACGAACCACGCCTCTCCACGTGCCACCACGTGCACGCTCGTTCGCGTTCGCTCGCCTCGCTCGCTCTCCTCGTTCCGCTGCTTCCGCATCCGCGGCTTCCTCTCGCCTCCATATCACATTCTCCCGTTCTCTCACGTTCCTTATCGATCCTCAATTCCTTCCTTTCGTATCTTCACATCTGTGTTTTTGCCTTCACAAGGAAAATGCGTGTGCGTAGACAGAAGCAACTTCCTCTTGCCTCATGTATTGTATAATTCGAATATATTATCATATAATGAATTTTGATATAAACTTTCATAAAATTGATAAATTTAATTATCTGCGAAAATAGAAATAAAATACGAAGAAGAAAGAAAAATGATTTTCTGATAATACTTAATGATTGATATTTATTCAAGATATACAAAAAAAAAAGTATTTTCTTTTATATTAAGTAATAATTTAGTTGAACAGATGAAGTTTTTAATGCATTCAGATATGTAATGAAACAAAAAATTAATTATAGTATCATATCATCTGAATCAATTACTGAATGTATATTAATTGCAGACAGATAAGATTTATTGCAATATATTGAAATTCCAATATAAGAAGCGACAATGTCTTATTTTAAGGGGCACTCCGGTGATTTCAACGCGCGCATGAGAAACGACGTGTGCGAATTTCTCGTGAGTCTCTATAGTACGATCGGTAAAGGTGAATATTAAAATAAATCAAAAAAATTGATTAACAATGGATTCGAGCAATATTCCTGAACTAAGCATTACAGACTTTCTCCAATCGACCGCAAATGATAAGAAGTCTATGTGAATACACGTTTTACACGTGCATAGATTTAGACGAATCTTACAAACATGAAATTATATCCGCATAATATTGTAGAATAGAGAAATGAATAGAAGAGAAATGGATAGGCGGGGGTGAAGAAGACAGAGAACCAATTGCTAAATCAGACGATCGGTCGTTGCAACGAGGATCGTAGCTATAATTCCGTTTTGCGCTCATGTAGCTACAGGGATAATTTCATCCTCTAGAATGATTCTAGTTGCCATAACTAGTAAATTACCGTAGAGCGGATTATCTCTATAAGAGGCACGCGGACAAGCGCGCGCGT